AATTTTTTTAAAATATAAAATATATATATTGTTCAGTTATTTTATTACATTTTGGGCTAATTGCATATCAGTGATAAATTGGATGTCTTGTTCAGTAAAACATCAGTCATTATAATAGCGTAAATAGCTATTTTAATGTTTATTTTTATTTTTTTTTAGTAGGCAGATACCATAATACTACCTAGTGAAGAAACTGCATGCAATAACGTGAGGTTTGATAGGATAGCTAGGTATTGAGTCTTAGGTCTTGATTAATTTTCCTTATCTAATATGAGGACAAGTTTGATAGCCAATTCGATATGTATTTGTAATAGTACCACAAGAAATCAAATGCTGACATTATTGCATTGAGCTGCCCCTCACATCCAGCTTTCACACTGATACTATCCTTCTACGTTTTTTGTTGGCTTTTACCTTGACAGTTATCAACAGATCACCTTATTCATGTGGTATGTCTTCATTTTTAAAGGCTAATGTATTTGGAGCTTTATTAAAGTTATCTTAAATATTTACCACTTGATATTTATTGAAGACTCTATGTTGAGATCCATGGGCAGTAGGCAACATACAAAGTCTAGAGATTAGGGACACACAAATAACTTTAATGGACATAACAGAGTTTGGGGACTCAGGGATAGCAAAGAACTCATTGGGTTATAGGAAATACTAAAGAGTTTATGATTTAAGTGCCATTTATGATCAATTTTAAAAAATCAGTAAGATTTCAAAGGCAGAGCTGTACAGTATGTATAAACCAGGCTAGTCATTCATTCAGCCTGAGCTCATATGCCTTAATTATAAGGAGAACCTGGAAAGTGGTGCTTGTCAGTATTTGATTTATAAGAAGGTAACAGGAGGGGGACATTCTTCCCAGTAATACATAAGAAATGCTGTCATTTATATGAAAAATGTAAATGCTACTTCCTTTTAAGAACATATATTCCAATAAATCATTTGACAGTAGAAAGATCTTACAGCGCAAATTTGCTTTGTAATTTTTGATAAGCCCAAAGTTTTACCCATGCATCCAATTATTCTTTTTATTCTTTGAGTGCTATTGTAATAAAGTACTATTATAATTGCTGATGTGTAAGTTTGTTTTCAAGGAGATAAAGAAGGGAAACTTACATTTATTGATCACCAACAATATACATGTTATCTATTAAACATATTTCATTTAATCCTTACAGTATTCCTATAACATAAATATTATTATTTCCTTTTTTTTAGAACTAAAAAAATTCAAGCATACCTGCTTAATATCACCCAGCTAACAACTAAAAGCTTGTCTGGGAATTCATATCTATTGGTTTAACTCCAAAATCATCTTTTTCTACTGCATTGCCTTTTCTATATTCACTATGTCCATCTCTGGGATACCTTTTTGAAGAGAAGAGTTGAATATAGATTTTTGTAGATTACTCTTTCATATAAAAGAAAATGACAGATCCTTACCAACCAATGTATTTATATCCTTCTTTCCCTGTAACCTATTCTCCATACAGCTGCTAAGAATGACCTAGTAAAAACAAACATCAGGTCCCCTGCTTAAAACTTTTTAGTGTTTTCCCACTGCACTTCAGATACAGACCTAACTTTTCAATGTGGTCTATATCAAAGCTGTGCTGGAGCCAGAACATACCAGTTCATGAAAGCCAATTGTTAAATTTTCAGGAATTTTGTGAATCAGTTGTTAAACATTGTCATTGTTAAAATTAAATAAGATGAACTTATAATTAACTAACTTAATTTAAAAACAAAGGTGCTAAATATTCAAAACTCATCACTTCCAAATATTTTACAAATATTTTAACTGTTAACCTGTGCTCTTGAGGTTATGTTGTCTGCGTCATATGTATGATAGAAATAGTATATAATGGTGCACTATGGCACTATTGATAGACATAATTTCTAACTCCAACCTGCTTATTTTTTAGTACTCTATGAGTTATGGATAGTGACCAAACCTGTTTAATGCTATAGCAGGACCCCTACTATCCAACTTGTTATTGGAATTATTTCTTCAGTATTCCATTTCTGTTTACAAAGCCAAGAATTTGTTATTGCAGTAATTTTTCTGCTATCTTGCAAGTCATTAATAACCACCTAGAAGTGAATTTGTTTAATATTTCCAAAATGTGTTTTCATATCATACATCTTATGTTGTATAATATCACAATGCTGAGTTCAGCCTTGGTTCACTGATATTGCCACTGCACTGAGATACGCTGTCTTCTTTAAAAACACATTATCATAACTTCAAAAGCAAAACATTATTACAACTCAGTTTGAGAATTTCCTTTTTTCTTTGAAGCATAAATATCAATTGATATTTGCTGTTTAGCTATAGTTTATATATTTCTAAATGCTTTTTTCATTTTTAAAATCACTGACATTTTTACTACTTTTATATATATATCCTGACTGCTAATACTGATAATGAATACATTCATTGAAGAAGAAGTACTGGGGGAAGCTGAAGTAGGCATGCCAAACAGATTCTACTGAACTTTAGAACAAGAAAGTTGTATTTCTACTTTTCAAGGACTATACATATTTCTCATTAATTTCTCACTCATTTTATTAACAGCCTTTAAAAAACATCTTCTCAGGGGCTCATTTTAATCTGTTTTATGATGAGATAATATCTGAGATTCCAATTAGTTTATTATATCTGACTGCATTCATCACAAATAGTATTGATTCTGCCTTTGCTAGAATGGTATTTTATAGGTTTACTCTACTATTTTCATGTGGCACATTATAACTAAAAATTTAAAACTTGGCTATATTGCTGAAGTTAGACATAAAGGATACTAACTTTCAAGACTGCCTCCAATGTAGATGTATTTTTTTAAAAATAAAGATTATGGACTGGAATTATCAGTTAATATTCACAAATTTTGTTTTTTTTAGAGATCAAGTTCAAACTTTTAAATGATTTGTTTACTGTGTGTGAGAGAGAAAGAGAGCAGTAGAGGGGAGAGAGATACGACATTTAAGCTTCATATCTAAAAATAAGCAGAAATTTGTGTCCCTTTGTTATTACCCTATGATTATTTTGGATAATTTATTCTGATCTGGCTCATACCAGACCATTCCTCTACTTGTACTGTAGCTGTACCAATGCCATCTACACATCCAACTTTTCCTGTCCCAGGACTTCTGTGTCCTTATCAAGTGAGTTGCCTACTTATTCTTTGGGAAGGCTTTGTATCCAGCATCTCAGCTCTGCAGAGACTGTGTGTAGGAAGGCCACAGCCTCTAAATTGTTTATTTGCTTCAGTGGTTTTACCACATTTAAGGAAATAAAAGCTTATTATCCCCTTTACAAGACACCAAATGGTATAATATTCAACAATTTGTCATTCACTTAGAGAGACTGACTGAATTAGTTTTCTCTAGGGCTGGCTGCAGTTATCTTAGGTGTAAGTTTTTGAAAAGCCACTTGAAAACAGCGAAGATTACTAAGGCTTAGAATTTGGTAGTAAGAGAAGTATTATAGGCCACATAGGTGCAAGTCACAAGCATTGAAGGAATAAAGGACACAATGCACTTATAGTTTAAATAATCAAAAAGAAGCTAAAAACTGCCTAAGGACTTTAACAGCTAAGATCAAAGGCCAAACATTTTGAAAAGATCTTAAATAAAAAATGAAATAAGCAAATATTTAGAGTATCAAAGGGAAAACAGTGAAGTATACTTATTTAATTATAGGACATTTTAGTTAATAATTTAGGCATTTCATGGTTTCTAAGTAGAAAATAGAAGTGACTGATGGGTATAGGAATTTAAACAATTATATTTCTGAGTAGGTAAATAAAATGCTTCTTGGTTCAGTTATTCTGGCATGAAACTAATCTAACAAAGGTATAAAATACCATAATCAAATAGTATTTCCTAAATTCACATTTTCAGGGTGACTTTTAAAGTAGATGTTCGTATAACAGTTAATCCTTGAATAAGTCAGTGTCCTTTTCTGTCTGCTTGGGATAATTTTCAGAATATTGAGTATTTCCCTTTCCATATTCTTTCAGATTTTTGATAATACAATTTGGGGATTGTTTCTTTGATTTCAGACTTTCTTCTCTGTTCAGATAAAATATCTTAGAGGGTTAATACATTTTATTATTTATTTGAATCTTAATTATGGAAGCTTATAAGGTCCTTTCCTAGAATTTCTTTTTTATTGAAAAAAAATAGCATCAAGAAGACTCTGGGAGTGCAGAATCACACTGTCCATCAAAATTAAAACTTCACTCATCCTTTGAGTTGCCAATACCACTTTTGGGAATGTCCCTTATCTCTAGTGCATCCCTGCATGTGTAAAAAATGAAACATATACAAGATTTTTTTTGCAGCTATTGATGATAAAAATATTAGTACTATCCCAAGTATCCATTAATAGGAAACTGATTTAATGAATCAGATATATCCATACAATGGAATGCTGTGTAGCTGTTTTTAAAAAATAGGCAACTCTTTATTTACCAAGAGGGAAATCTAACTTATATCATTAGGGGGAGAAAAGTAAGATGTGTAACATGTATAGAATATTGTCTTTTCTGTAGGAAAAGGACAAATAATATATGAAATTTTATTATTTTGTTTGCACAAAGAAACACTGGTGGATACAGGAGAAATTACGAGATTGTGTACAAAAGGTGAGGATGCAGGTATGAGGGACTATTGTATGTTAGGACATTGTTTGGATTTTTTTAATCATGTGACTGTGTTCTTTTTTTTAAAGATAGCCTATGAATGGATGATAACATCATTAGAATTAACAGAAGAGAACAGTTCATTGTATCCTCTTCAGCAAGTGAGGCTTTGAACACAAATTTTACCTATGTCATTCTGCAGAAGACAGGCTCTGAAGGACTTCATTCACAACAGGCCTTCAGCCATTTGTGCAGAAGCTTAATAACATGAAGGAATTTTGTTGACATGCTGGCCAAATGTCACTCATTCATGTTTGATATGTTTGTATTTTCCTGTAGATGCCAGAGGAACAAGCATTCTGTGTTTTGGTGAAAATCATGTATGACTATGGTTTACGAGACCTCTACAAAAACAACTTCGAAGATCTTCATTGCAAATTTTATCAGTTGGAGAGACTAATGCAGGTAAATGAAAATTAAGATTTTATCAGTCAGGAATTTATTGAGTTCATGCAAAAGTCTATTAATATTGACTACCAATAATATGTAATAAAAGTTTAATGGAATACAACAGAAAATTTAAATAGGTTTGGTTTCTGACCAATATTTACATTGATCTCAATATCATAATAAATGTGTATAGCCACTGGACTGTTTTTAAAACAGTTTCACATTTTAAATATTCAACTTTAATACTTTGAAGTGTGGATATAGTGAGTTAATCAATGAAGAGTTTGCCAAATATTTGTGGAGAAATAAGGATACCAAATAAAAAAACATCTAAAGTATTTTCCCATACTAATTAGCACCACTACCATATTTGATTCACAGAGAGCACTTGAGAAAGAAAGATATTGGTAAGTGAATAAAATAAACATCTAAAATATCAAAACATAGATAACATATTTATTCTCAAACATTGTTGATGTCCTCATAATGTTTTTGTAAATGTATATATGTAAGAAACTTACTCTTAAGTATACACAAAATATTACAAAATAAAAAAGATTGTGAGCAAGGACAAAATTATTGACTTGAGCCTTCAAAGGGAATTATTGGGTAGCTTTGAAGTTTTACCAGAGGTTGAAAATTCTAAATTTATTATGGGTCTATTCAGAATATTCATATGATTTTCTCCAAAAGGGTGTCGGAACCCAAGAGAGAAATGAAAAGGAAATGCATCAGTTGATTAATTTTGTACTGAGAAATGGTAAAATTATTTGGAAAGATAATAATAATATTTGGGTTATGGGAGTAAAAGATGTTGATAGAAGTGCATTGGCATAACCTGTCAGGAAATCATTTAGATACTTATTAGGTATCTGAAGAGGGAGATAAAGCTAATAGGAGGTTGAAAGACTAGAAGAACAGGGTAATTGAAGACTGAGAGTTCACCATGAGTTTAAAGAGAATTTGGAAAAGCGAATGTTTAAAAGTAGAAGACCTTGAATATGTAGAAGAAATGGAAAGAAGATGTAAAATGAGTCATAAGTACAATGACAGATGGGCATGGAGGGGAAAATAATTCTACAGAATGATCTGGTGACTATGGGCATTAAAAGCAATAGGCTTCTTTTTAAAAATTTAATTTTGCAAAATAAATATTTGGGATATTTTCTGTGTTAGTCAGTTTTTCCTCACTGTGACACAATACCTGAGATGAACAACTTAAGGTAAAAAGGATTCATTTTGGCTAACAGGTTCAGAGGTTTCAGTCCAAGGTAAGGTAGGCTTCATTTCTTTGAGTCTGAGGTAAGGCAGAATATCATGGTGGTGGAAGCAGGTGGTAGAAGAAGCTGCTCACCTCATGGCATTCAGGAAGCAGAGAGACAGAAAGGGGCCAAGGACAAGACATACCCTCAAAAATGCACCACTACTGACTTACTCCCTCCAACCAAACTCCAGCTCCTAATAGTTCATTCAGCTATGAATTTATTAATTGATGAATACATTGATGAGATTAATACTTCATGATCCAGTCACCTCTCAAGAGCACTACCAGCTGGGGACAAAGCCTTTAACCCATGAGCCTTTTGGCAGGGCACTTCATATCCAAACCCTAACGCTTACATTTTACCTTTCTTTCACAAAAGTTCCTGTTTTTCAAAGGTGTGCATTGCTGAAAGCTTTCAAAAGGCAAAAAATTAGTAAATGAAGAACAAGTTTGTGGTATGAAGAAACTCTACCATATTTTTCTATTAGTCCTTTTTGTCCGCTAGCTTCATGACCATTTGGGCAACCCTGCCCCCCACCTTGAAGTACCAGATGGGCACATCTGGGTGTTTTTCAAAATGAACATCTTGTGCAATAAATGATTTATTTTGTCTTCTTGTAGTGTTTTTATGAAAACAAAATGAGCATTATCTTTTATATATATTTGCCTGTCTTTCAGTTATGGATGTAGCTGTGCTAATACTTTGCTCTGTGATTTTCATGCTTTTGATAAGTAGTTGTTTGTTTAATTTGGGAAGAAAGTAAACCTAGCATGAATATATTTTTAGGAGATATTCAGTTTCTTGCATTACACCTTGAAATAACTTTACTTTGCCACTTTTAATATGTTGAAGATAGGTTTTTAATATTTGGTTATGATTTAGAGTTTTTCAAGTGCTCAAAAATATGCCAAAATGGTATCATAGACCCCAGATGATGTTGATACAGATGGTGTCCAAAAAGAAGATACGATTCTTTTATAGCTAGGTAAGAGGAGAACACTGAATGGTGATGCTGTGTCTTGACCCTGACGTCAAGGTATTCATTACACTGCAGGTGTTCTGTCACAGCAAGCATTTCCCAAGAAATAAGAAAAGTAAGCAAAAGATAATTTTTGTTATTGGTTTATAACACAGCCATCTTTGTTTTCCTCAATTATCTGTCAGATGCTTAATTTCCATCTCCTCTCATCACTTCTGTGTAGTTATATAAAATGCAATGAATGCTGGAAAACAGTTAATGTGACCCCAGAAAACTTGTTATGAATTGCAGTTGTGGCAGCAAATAAAGCTTCTTCAGTGCTCCCTCCCCTAAATTTTTCACCTTGGCTTTTAGGAACAACTACCAGACCTTCACAGCCATTTTTGTGACCTGAACCTGGAAGCTCATATGTATGCATCCCAGTGGTTTCTCACCCTGTTTACTGCCAAGTTCCCACTCTGCATGGTGTTCCATATCATTGACTTACTGCTTTGTGAGGTAGAGTGACTCCTGTCTTTCATACTTAAGACAAAACAGAAAATAGTTCCTACTTAACATGGTTAGTTTTCTTTTTTCATGTGATATTAACTAATGAAAAGGTTCTACTTGAATTTTTAGTAAAGTATTTTATAATTTCATTTTTTGTGAGGAATAAAAATATTAAGGTATATGTAATTCCCACAAATTGAAAATGAGATCATTAAATTTATATAATTAAATTAATAATAATCCTATATCTGTATAATAATGTTTTATCAGAATAGCCAACTTTTTGAAAAGTTAAATGATCTTAGAATCAGTTTTTTTAATACTAACACAACTATACTCCAATAGTGAATATAAATGAGATTTTTGCAGTAACTAATTACTCAATTCATAAGATACCTCTGTGTATATGATGTTTGAGGCTCCTGCCATATTATGAGAAAAATGATAAAATTTTAGGTCATATAAGTATATTTCTGTTATGTTTTATTTCTTTGCAGTACTGGGGATCAAACCTTAGGGCTTTATGTGTGCAAGGCAAGCACCTTACCACTGAGTTATACCCCTATCCCAAATTATATTTTTACACAGTAGAATATTTCAGATGTTTGTTTTCAGAATTCTTTAGGTGTTTATACTTGTTTATTTTATTGGTTTTCTTGTTGTTGTTCTTTAGGTAACTATATTTATTCACTCTTCTTCTTTATGGGTGGTGGTGATAGGGGTTGAACCGGTGCTTCACTCATGCTAAGTATGTATTCTGCCACCGAGCTACACCCTCATTTACTCTTCTAAAGAAATAAGTAATGTTTTGTATACACACATCTTACATTGCCTGAGAAAATGCTTGACAATTAGTATGATAGGAAAGTTGCTAGATGAGAAGTATGTATTTAATATGGCTGTACTCAGCAAAAGTAATCACTTTAAAACTTAGGTATATTATTATCAGCTTAATGTTACCTATACAACTTTTCATTACTACTAGCAGTTGTGTAGTACCTGAAGTTTGCAGAGTATTTTGTAAGCAAGTAAGAATTTGAATCATTTGTTAAACAAATTTGGTTGACGTGCTAGGATCATGAAAGAGGTTCTTGAATCCTGAACATATAGCACGTAGAGAAGCTGATTGATAAAACATTAATTCTCCTGTTCATTTTACTTATAAATTAGGTTTGTAAAATACCATTCTAAATGTAACCCAAAAGAAGAATGAAGAAATAGGAGCTAAAACCTTACTGAAAGTCAACATGGTATGATCACAATATACACAAAGCGAATGTAGGTATTTGTACTAAAACTCTGGCTTTGCCTGATTATCCCAATTGCTAAGTTGAATAGTTCTGGCTCCCCTATTTTAGTGCAACACACTTTGAAGCAAAAAAAAAAAAAAAAAAAATGGATGGGGAGACTGTGGGGAAAGGGTGTGGGAGGGTGAATATGGTGCAAATACTGTGTACACATGTAGTAGTAAATGGAAAAATGAGACCAGTTGAAACTATTCTAGGAATGGGGGAAAAGGGGATAAAAGAGAATTACGAAGGGAGTGAATTCAAGTATGATATATTTGACACATTGTAAGAACTTTTGTAAATGCCACAATTTACCCCCAGTGCAACAATAAAAAAAATTTTTTTGAAACCAAAAAAAACCAATTTCTCTGGCTGGGGGTGTGATTGCAGTGGTAGAGCACCTGCATAGCAAGCATTAGGCCCTGAGTTCAAACCTCAGTACACCAAAATAAATATATAATAAATTAAAAAACAAACTCACATCTTTGAATTCTATATTCTTAAAACAAGTTAATATTGAAGGTTAGTTTTGATAAGTAAATATTCATAGGCATTAATTATTGCATATCAAGTTAAGGTTAGTATTTCAAAAAATAGAGTGGCATATGACATTTAAACAGTTTTTGCATTGTATATTATATGCGCTTACAAATGTTATGCTTCATTTTTTCTAAAACAGGTTATCTAATTTCATACTGGATTAGGTCTGTGGCATTCATTATAGAAAAAGGAATGAAATTAATGTGCTTAATCGCATAGGTAAATTGGATTTTTAAAAATCGTTTTTGGTAGAATAGTAATCTGTAGTTTAGTTCACTGGAGCAATGGCTTTCTAAAGTTGTCTCTCTCTGAATAGTGGCATACCTGGCACCTGTTCACAGGTCTCCTGGAACCCAGATTCATATTCTCACGTGGTGATACTTGAATTTTTAATGTCAATTGCTAGGAAAATACCAACGTTTTTGGTCCTCAAAAGCAAACTAAATTTATAAACCTTCTCATCACTTGTCAACTGTGATCATGGTGAAGAAAGTTCCCAGTATTCATTACAATTAATAAAACCATCATAGATGTTACTTTCTCTTCTGTTAAATCTGTACTCTGTAGCTATTTAAGGAAGTTGCATAGCTTTTCAAAACATGGAATAGGTTATAATCACAGCCCCAGGTTTTCCAGGAAGTAACAGAGTAAAGTAGCTTTTCAAAATAAACTTTATTGAGAACAATCTTGTAGTGTGCTTCAGGATGTTTGTTCTTTCTACTAACTCATCTTTGTCAAGGATTATTTTCCGAAGGAAATTTTGAATAAACTTTGACTTCCTGCCTGTCTGTGTTTTCTCTTTGCCCCTTTCCTTCTTGTAGTTAACAAAATATTTATATCAAAAGCTATTCTTTCATATGTGATAAACTATTCTAATAGAAGAAATGGTAACACAGTCTTAAATACATCACTAGGTGTTTGTTTTTGTCATATTCTCCCTTTTTATGAAAACAATTCAAACCTTAAGGGTCATGAATTAACATTTAGTTACAAATAAAAGGTTAGGAAATTTTCATGGAAAAGTATTGATTTTTTTCAAAGTTCATCATTCTGACAAAATATTGGTCTGCAAAGTATTTTTCTCAAAGATCCTATTGTAAAGTGAAAAGGAAAGACACTGAATTTAAGATTTTACTATTAGAAGATATATCATCATGCCATGCTTTCCTAAACTGTATACTTTAAGATTTTTTCATCCATCCTGAGAGTAAGAACTTAAAGTTAATTTAGTTAATTTAGTAGAGAGTGAATAATTTCATAGACTTTGACAATACAGTTATATTTAAAATGTTTACTTAAGCCTGACTATAGAATGGTCTGGGTTTATTCCTTTGTTTAGTTGAAGATAGATGGCAACAAGACTTGAAATTAGCATTCAAAAATATATTTTGTTATTACACAATGAATGCAGGTCTCTGTAGATTATCTTTTAGTCAGTAATTGAAATGAAAATCATTTTTAAAAATGCTCTGCTTGCCAGGCACTAGTGGCTCATGCCTGTAATCTTAGTATTTGGGAAGCTAAGATGGGGTTCAAGGTTTGAGGCTAGCCTGGGCAAAAAGCTCCTATGACCCCCGTCTCCAAAATAACAAGCATAATGGACTGGAGATGTGGCTCAAGCAGTAGAACTCCTGCTTTGCAAGTGTAAAGCCCTGAGTTCAAACCCTAGTCTCACCAAAAAAAAAAAAAATTAAATAAAAAATGCTCTGTTTTATTATCTGTTTCTAGTTAGAGAGATAAGACAGCATATTAACATATTAACATTTACATTGTAAATATTGTGCTGCTAACCCACCAAGAATAAAACATTACACTTTTGAAATAACTTTTCATTGAAGCATAACAGAATAAAAGAAATTGTATAAAAGTTAGTATAAAACTTGTTTTTTTTTCCACAAAATGAACATGCTTAAGTTATCAGTACCCAGATCAAAAAGGAAGCAGAACATCATCTGCATTTTAGAACTCCCTTCCTTACTCCTCTAAGGAGTCAGTATTACCCTGCCTTTTAACAAGTCTTGCTTGTTTTATGTAAATATAATCATACAATATGAACTTTTTGTCTAATCTTTTTATTCATTATATTTGTGAAATTCATCTATGTTATTATATGTAGGCATGGTTTATTTTTCCTTTGTGTTACTGTACTGTAGTTTAGCCATTCTCCATTCTATTGTTGATAGGCATTTGAGAGAGAAGTGACCCTGATGGGAAAATTCTAGCAAAGTATTCAGTTTTAGAAGAAGCAACATAGAGACAATGTAGCAATGGGCATATGGGGATTTTGGCTCCTTCCTGGATCACCTTGTTAAAGTTACTTGACTTACATAAATCTCGGTACCTTTATTTGTAAAACGAGACCAGCAATACCTATCTCTCAGGTTTCATGTAGGGTTAAGTGAGTTTGTGGTGTAGAATGCTTAGCATGGTCCCTGAATACCCAGTTCATAATCGTTCCCTGCATTCTCTTGTGTTCATCTGTGTCGCCCTTTCAGCCACTGCTTAATTTCTTCTGTTAACGAGCCTTCTGCATCCAGTTGAGATAGATACTTCTTTACTAAAAGCAAAATTTTAGCCAGTGACCTTAGTGGAAATTTTGTTCTATTTCTTTTCCCAGTTGCAATTCATATAGTTCTCCAAAGGTGTTTTACTTTCTTTTTCTTCCCCTTCACCTTCTTAAACAAGATACAGAGAAAATTCCATAATTTCTCATAGTCTTGACAGGATGACTGACGCTAGTATATGAAGTTGACTCTTTTCAGATAGTTCAATTTTTAGAGTACCAAATATATTCACCTTTATATAGTAACTTGATATTTCATGAAATTTAAGGAAATCAGTGACTCTTCTAATTAGAATGTATCTCTTGCTCCTCCTTCCTTCTCAGGATGATGGGAAGAATGACAGTTCTGCATTACCTAATTAAATACCACCAGGTATAATTCCCCTTTGAAGGAAGTTTTCTGAAGTTAATTGAAGGATAAGTTCACTACATAATATTCTCTCCTTTTATCCCCAGTACCTCCCACAAAACTTCATCAGAATGCACTATAATAAGGACAATTAGATAAACATGAATGTTCTGAAAATTCAAAGTGTAGTATTTGGCCACAAAAGCAGAGAAAAAAGTGCTTTACCTAATCAATAAAGAATTGTATAGGCTACTTTAATGTTTTACTT